GAGAGACGTCGCAGGCAGTGTTATAGCAGCAGAGCATGCAGGAGAGACGTCGCAGGCAGTGTTATAGCAGCAGAGCATGCAGGAGAGACGTCGCAGGCAGTGTTATAGCAGCAGAGCATGCAGGAGAGACGTCGTATGCAGTGTTATAGCAGCAGAGCATGCAGGAGAGACGTCACAGGCAGTGTTATAGCAGCCGAGCATGCAGGAGAGACGTCACAGGCAGTAGGGCGAGCAGGCCGGAAAGAGACCACAGGTAGTGGCAATGTTGCAGGCAGCGAAGTAGGCAGGACATCTTAATAATTTAGGATATCCTATTCAATTTTCAAAAAAATTATGCATAGATAAAAACATACTGTATATCTTATAAAAACCCATCCATATTTCAATCACTTATCTGGTGTAAGGTCGGCTTGTTTTGCCTTTTTGGCAACTCTGTTGAAAAAGTGTCAGAGGCAAGATTGTATCTAACTTGGGAACGGCCAAACCACAGAGACATGTCTAAACCCAGACCTGTGAGAAACGCAGGAACTGTGGGAAATGCCGCATTGTTCCGGAAGCCACTGAGTCATTGCGCCCCACATCAAGAGGAGTCTCTGTATGCCCTAATACTCAGACCCAGCACTTGGTCACAGTGCTCATTGTATGTAAGAGACAGCTCACTTCACTGTGGGATATGAAGGACATTAGTGCTCCAGCCCACCAGACCACATCTGAGTCAGAAGATATGTGAGACAATGTAAACAAGCAGGGAAACGTGCTGGTATCTTTCTCCCTAGAGAAACTAGACCTGCTTGGTAATTAAAGATATCCTGCAGATTTTGGGGAAGAGTAGGCAATTCAGAGCTGTAATATACGTTGTTAATCTATATTTTACACCGGTACTAACAATACAGACAGAAGATGTGCTAGCTAAATTGATGGGGGTCAGGAATCTGAACATGTATCCACAATTTCACGATTTTGTTTTAATCGTGCATTGGCAGTGTTTTTACATCTGCAGTCACGTTATTGAGCTGGACTGACTTAAACATTTCAGATGCATGTACTGTGAAGTTCTGTCAGTCGACAAGGACAAGGATTACGGAGAGAGTCTAAAAATGTGCCGGTTGTGCGGATGATGGTTCTTCCTCTTTTTGTGCTGATTATTATTATCTCAGGGATGCTACAGAGGAAGTGTCCACTCAGCTGCCTTTTGTTCTGTTGTTCAGCATCTGCAACGTGTGAACCAGAGGAAGAGGGACGAATGAAGCTACAGGGCTCTGTCAATGCTCACATCTAGGCAAAAGGTTGCAAATTTTTCCAGTAACCTGGTGAATTTCTTGGTAGGTTGCAATCCCTATTTACCAGTTTAATTCGGGTTCTATTTATTTAAGAAGAGCATAGAATAATGCCGCACAAAATGGACGCATGCTAATGCTACTTCTTGCTAGCTTAGATTCATTCATTCTTAGTACCTGTTTGTTCTATTCAGGGTCACAACCCAGGAATGGAGTATCAACCCATTGCACTCACAGCTTGGTACCTTCAACTCATGTTTTTGGACTGGGGGCAGAGACCAGTGCCCCCACCATGAGGAGAACAGGCAAACTCCACACACATAGAGCCACGGCGGCGACACGAATGCTGGTCCCCGAGGTGTGAGACGATCATACCTCCAAGCTTCAGTGTACTGCTCTCCAAAAGAACACCAGCACTAGAAAGCAAGGGGCCAGTTCAGTATGCGAAACATCTCTCCACAAAAACTGTGAAATAGTCCATCCCATGGGACTTTCCTACTATTTCAAGGAATTATTATTATAGGAGAAACTAAGGAACTGAAATCATTTTTGTGTTACTTTTTCTGATGAATGTTAATTACGGTTACAGATCAGGAATTGTGGATTTTATTAGTCTTTTTTCTAATCATTACCTTCCTGATTAACAGAACTAATGAAAGACCTGAGACTCTAGTGAACCTGTGACCGAGTGTCTAATTCTCCAGGCAGGGGAGGTTTTTCCTGCAATGTTGATTGCAAATCCACCTGTGCCCCCTCTGTCAACAAGTGGAAAGCATTCAAGGAACCTTCAGGCAATTATCTTCAGAGAAGAATAGCTTATCTTCAAGACTTATGCCTGCTGAGGGTTCGAATCTCCCCTGTGAATGAGTCCAGTGTCTTTCTTAACGTTTTAGGTCAAAAAGTCCAGCCTGCCCTTCATTCCTATAGCAATATTTCATGTCTTTCCTGCTGCCAGGAGAGACTGCACACACAACCGTAGGATAATGTGACAAGTTCCTTGTGCTTCAGACCACCCACAGTCCAGAGATAAACCCCTAGCTTATGCCCCATTCCCTCTTTAGCATTGTACAATGAGTGCCGGTGGTGTCTGGTAGCTTGGTAACATGGACTGGACTGAACCTACAGTAGGCAAAACAGCTCATTAATGACTTAAAGAAGACTTAGAGAATACTACCCTACAATGCTTTGCTTTTGAAGGGCTTCTCTTGTTTAAGCAAAATGCCTAGTCAGTTTATACTCTGGTGAGGCATGTTTTTTTTATATCAGGGTGTGGCAGTGTAACCTGTGGTCAGCTCTGGGAGCCACAACTAGATACAAAAAAAGCTCAGTTAGAAGATTATTTACTTATAAGACAACTGGTATAATTTGTTATGAATGTGTTTATAATTCTAATGATTGAGTAAAACATGACCATGATTTAATACATTGTGGAAACAAATTAGTAATACGTGACCATGACACACACACACACACACACATATACATATATATCCCCATAATCATATCTCTAGGATAATCTCTATATATCTCTATGTTTAGGAATATATTTTTTATTTGTGGTGTATTTTTTATTTTTTTATGAATGGTGAATTAATTTTCCTATTTTCCGTGAGGGAATACAGATATGTAAACCATGAAAATGCTTTATCTTAGTGCTCAATTACTGTTTTTACGGTCTCAGAGCCTCCACAAGCTATGTAATATGATTTCTGTAAGTACAGTAAGTCACACCATGACCTTTCAGATGGATCAAACACATGGGCGTGCAGAGTTCTACTGATGAGCCGCTTAAAATTGTGTTAGGAATGTCACATCTTGTTACAAAGTCAATAATTACACGAAAAGGATTGTGTCAGCCATCAACAACAAAACAACAATAACAGCAACAATAATATTATTAGGGGTTGTTCTTGTTATTATTCATTTAAGATGGATTCATAACAGAATATTGTAATTTTCCAAGTAGCGTCTTGTTCATATCTTGTTATCTCTTCAGCTATCACATAACAATTATTTCAAGCTGAATATTTTATGGATTTGAACTACAAAAAAAAACTGACAGATAGAACAAATATACCTCTTAATGCGTTGAGGTGGAGATGTTCTGTATTAATCTGGAGGAGAGCTTGACTGAAGGGGAATTTGGAGATTTAGAGCTGTTGGGCAAGAGCTGATTGGACGGCATCCACTTGGCTGCAAATCAATCACTCGAAGAGCTAATGCACCCACAGACCCCCCCTCTGCATAATGGATGAGAGAGCAGCTGCTCTACCATGGGTTTGTCTCAGCAATTAGAGAAAGTGTCCTCCACCTTTGCTGCTAATTTCTGAGCTGACTTTCTTGCCCATTACTGTATCCTAAGTGGCACATCTGGGTCAGATTTGAAACTGCTTTGTCTAATGCCATCTTTCAGTAAATGTTTTTGGCGGAAACAGCCGCTGTATATAAATAGCTAATTAGATCACCAATTAAAGTCTACGCTCCAAAGTTTATCGAACATATAATTACAAATGTATCATGGAACTCTCAACATATATAAACT